TCTTTCCCTGGCCAGGCTTAAAGTTTCTTAAGATAGGGGATGGCCTTACCTAGTTACTGTGCAGTATCCAGCTCTCTAGTTCTGTGGTTCTCAAACCTCAGCGTACATTGGAATCACCCAGAGGGCTCACTGACAGAGACTGCTCAGGCCCACCCTCCACCCTTAGAATTTCTGTCCCAAGGTGGACCCTGAGAACCTGCATATCTAACACGTTCCCTGGTGATACTGGTGCTGCTGGTCTGAGGAGCACAGTCTGAGCACCACTGACCTAGTTTAGCTTCTCTCCCAAAGACATGCCTGGAGAAGCCAGCCTCCTCAGTGTAGCTTCCCAGTCCTGACGGTATATGCCACCCATTTCCCTGAAGTCCGCTCAGAGGTGGAATTCAGCTGACACTTTGGGATGGGTGATACTTAGTAAAATAAGAGACCAAGACACCAGGATCTTGTTAGCTGGATATATTTCTTTTTGTTTGTTTTTGTTTTTGTCACAGAACACTGTTTGCAGTAGAGGAAACTGGCATTGCAGTCTGGTGGTAAAATGGCTTGTTCACATAAACCAGTACATGTTCATCCTTTAGCGCAAAAAGCCCTAATGGCGCGTACCCTATTGAAATTCAGGACATCTCCAATATTCTCTCTCTGTTTTTCTTTGTCACTTTTTTTTTTTAAATAAACATTTTCAAGGTTTGTCCAAAAGAAGGCCATATAGGTTCTTGGCTAGCGGAAGACAATTCAGAACAGATGTTGCACACTTGGACTGTTACCTTCTCCAGGCTGGCAGTTGATATCTTATTTTTTTCCAACTCATTTTTATTAAAAAAATAAAAAAATGCTCCAACTATCAGTTTTACAAAATCTCTAAGGGAAACACAAGAGCAAGGTGCTGAGGTAAAAAACACCTGAGGTAGCTTTTTTTTGTGTGTTTTTCTCGTTAAAAAAATCTGTAAATTTAACGCCCTGGGCCAACGACCTCGTGTAAATTGCTATTTTCCTCCATATTTTTTTTAAAAGAAAGAAATAATTTTGCTGAATATTGATGGCTTATACACCAAAATGTAAAAAGACAAAATACATTCTTTCTTTGTGGAATTTTTCTTTGTTTGGTTGGTTGGTTTGATGGGTTACTGTTTTTCCTCTTCCAAAATGCTAGGACAAGTACCATTGACTCTTGTTCTTTTGAGTAACCAAGTGTAAGTTGAGGCTGGTTTGTGTGTTTCGCTTTTGTTCCTTTGTGTGATGTGATACTCAGAGCACTGCTTTGCCTGGGGGGTGCGTAGATATGGGAATTGAGACAGAGGGATGAGGGGAATTAACAAGAATGGGGATGGAGAGGATGGGGAGGGAGAGAGGGGGTAGGGGAGAGATAAACAGAGAGAGACAGAGAATTATACAGCAGTATGCAAAAACCAGTTTAAAACCTGTGAAGCAAAGAGAAATGGGTGTGTGAGCTAGACAGGGATGAAGAGAGACAGAGTTTCCTCTTCAGAGAGACGGTATCCCTTCTGTTGACATACACAGGTGATCCAGAACTGCTGTGAGTGTCCTTTCGACGAGATTACCCTCCGGGTGAATTTTGTGTGGGTGGCCTTGAAGCTCCTTACTAAACCGTTAGAACTCCCAAAGCACGACTTTATTCTTTAAAGTCTAGAAAAGCCTGCTTTCTCTTTAAAAAGAAAAAAGAATAACTGATTAAAAATTGGAGTTAGTTGAGTTATCTGATATATTATTTCTAAAATATATTAACGCCGCAGGCACCCTGTGTAACCCACAGGCCACATATCTTAACATCTTTCCCTTCTAATATGTACATACATGTACAGACACAATTTTCCGCAAAAAGAAAAGGGTGTGAATTTTGCTTTGATTTCAACACATTCACCTATGTTAGTTCAACTAGAAGGGATAGCGTGGTGGGGTTAGGAGAGACCCGAGTGGATGGTGAAGTGGATGGCTGGGAAGCCTGCAGAGGCCCTGGGGAAGCTGGGAGGCCGGGCCCCGGCACGGCTGCCCTCCCGCCTCCTCCCTGGCCCCCCGGATTCTCAGGGCCTCTGCAGAGCCCCTGGCGCCTCCGCAGACTTCTCATTCCTCAGGATGGTCTTTGGTTTGCTCCCGATCTGGCTGGCTGTGTTTGGTCTCATTCTGTCAGGTGTTGGAAGGGCTACATTCATCCGTTGTTTGCTGGTGCCTGTGGGAGCCTCACTTGCTGCGCTGTGAGGCAACTCCCTGAGGATATTTCTGCTCCTGCTGCTTCACCTGTTGTACAATTTCCCTGATCTTGCGCTGTGCAGTCTGCAGCAAGGGAGAGGAGGGGGACAGGGGAGAAAAGGAACCCAGTTCTGAGGACAAGCAGTGGGGTGTGGGGAGGCAGGGCTGGGACTTGGGGGAAGGAGGCGGTAAACTCAGAAAAGTGTCATCTACCTACTGAGGCCCTGACTCCAGGCCTTTTCTGCCTGGAAGTAAAGTGGCAGAGTTCCCCACCCCCACCCTGCCAAGGCTGCTGGGTGGAGGGTAAGAGGGTGGGACCCCAGGAAGCAAGAACCAGGGCATTAGTGACTAGGGAACCTGCAGAGGTCAGACTGCATCCTCCCTCCCAGCTAACACATGCTCCAACGTCCAACGCTTCGCCTCCTCCCTGCCTTCCTAGAGTTACTGCAGAGACAGTGGTGTATGGCAAGGGAAGATGGACAGTCAATGGGATGGGGAGAAAGTGAGAAACGGGCCCACTCTACCCTGAACAGGTGGAGAAAACACATGAACCCAAACCTGTCCCCTCACCCACCCTGCTGCTCCCACTGCAGGGAGAACCCTGCAGACTGAACGCCTACAGGAGCCCAGCCACTGAGACCCACGCCTGGAACACTGGAAGAGCTGGGATGGGAGAGCCCCAGGCGTGGTGTGGTCAGGCTCTGACTATAGGGATCTCAAAGGGTGCTGGTGGGGTGCAGGGCACAGCAGCGTGGCAGGTCCTGGCAAAGGCACGGCACTGAGAGCGCAGGCTGACACTCAGACAAACCTGCAGTGTTGGCTTAGACTGCCTCTGCTCCTTTGGGACAGGGACTGGACCGCTCTATCCCCAAACCCAACCCCCTCCCCCAACAACAAAAAAGCATCACAAAGAACCAGGTCACGTGATTCTGAGTCACTAGCCCTTCTGACTGGAAGAGAAGCAGCTGTATGGGGCCCTGAGTCCTAATGGGGGTTGTCACAGTGAAGTAGAGGAGAGGAAAGAGAAACAAGGGTCTCCTGACATGAGCGTTTAACCCATAATAGTGGAATTCTGGCACCTAGGCTGGTCCTCAGGGCCCAAGGTGGCCCTTGCCTGGTATATGGCTCCCAGCAGGGGAAGGCTGTGACTGAGGCCTGAGCGGGAGGTCGAGGTAACAGGAGAGCCCGCAGTTCAGCATTTCAGAGGCTTGAACTGTGCTGGCTTGACTCCAAAGCTCTATACCCTTCCTCAGGCTCCTCCAGCAGGCCTGGGAGAGCAGTGGTGAGCCAAGGAACAGTCGCCCCTGTCCTGTTCCATCTGTGCGTGGGGGGTCAGAGTGGGGATGTGTGTGCACGGCCTGGGGCCACCGGACAGGTCACCAAGAACTTAGAGACTTGCAAAGAGATTAGCAGGAGAGACTGGACCCTCACAGCACAGGTACCTGGCTGGCAAAGAAATGCCCAATAATTCGGACAATCACTTCCTCATTTTCATCTGGCGTTTGGTCACGAGGCACAATGACTTCTGCACTGGTTAAGTTCTGCAGTTCATTCACCTGTGAAGGGAGAAACCAAAAAAATTCCTGTGACTTGCTTCACTTGCAGTGGTCAGGAACCGGAACCCAGAATATCTGCAAGGTATGTCTGTATACTCTGGGCGGGACTCTCCTCCGTATCGACTTCCTGCTGCTGTGTGTGTGGGTTTACAGGCGCAGGAGGCAGCCTCCCTGTCTTCATTTCCCAGCATATAGCCTAGATGCAGTGTTCCTGGACCCAGGACCACTGTGGGTTTGGGGCCCTCAGCTCTGGATGATGCTAATTACATTTTTGTCCTTGAAGAGTCAGTGGGGGTCTGAGGGAAGTCAGGCCAGGAGATGAAGCCAGCTCAGAGCACACTTACGGTTTTGCCACCCTTGCCGATCACACGGCCGGCTGTAGAGGAGGGCACTCGGATGTGGGCTTCCAGCTTCACCTCCTCTTTGGGGTTAAAGAAGTTTTCTTCTTTCAGTTTCCCAAAGATCCGCCCCTGGGCCTGAGAGAGCAAGACACGTCAACCTGCTTTAGCAGCACTGCTACAGGAACCAGTGAGTCCAGGCAATGGTACAGCCCCAGCCCCATGCTCCCCGGGGTCTGCTCAGCTCGCTCAGAGCGGATGCATGCCTGCCACACCCAAGGAGTGCACCTTGCAGACATGCACAGACACTCCCGTGTCTTCAGGTTTGCACATGGATCGCACAGGAAGCTTTCCGTGTATAGGGTCAGGGTGGAACTACATGTCTTATTTCTGTATCCTGAGCAACTATAAATGTTTGGTTGAATGAATTTGTTCAGGGAATTCTTAACTTCCTCCCACCACGATACGTTCAGGCCTCCGGTTATTAAAGGATGGAGGCAAGGGTGGTGTTGATGGGATTTGCTCTTTGATGTTTAACACCAGAGCCAGTGTAGCCAAAAGCTTTTTGTTCTTTTTAAAAGAACTTTTAAAAAAAATTATTTATTTATTTATTGGCTGCACCGCATGTCACGTGGGATCTTAGTTCCCCAACCAGGGATCAAACCCATGCCCCCTGCAGTGGAAGCACAGAGTCTTAACAACTGGACCGCCAGGGAAGTCCCTAAAAGAACTTAAAAAAAACCGAGATATAACTTACATAACTTAAAATTCAGCATTTTAAAGTGTACACTCCAGTGGTTTTTAGTATATTCACTAGGTTGTGCAACCACCACTGCTATCCAGAACATTTTCATCCCATTCCCCCAAATAAAAACCCATACCTATTAGCAGATAGTCCCAACTCCTCCCTTCCCCTAGTCCCTGGCAACCACTAAACTACCCTTCTGTCTCTGGATTTGCTTTTTCTGGATGTTTCACATAAATGGAATATATATTATGTGGTCTATTGTGTCTGCCTTCTTTCACTTGGTATAATGTTTTCTAGGTTCATCCATGATATAGCATGCATCAGAATCTCACTCCTTTTCAAGGCTAAATAACATTCCATGTATGTTTATGCCACATTTTGTTTATCCATTCTTTCATTGATGGACGCTTGGGTTGTTTCTGCCTTTGGGCTATTGTGAATAATGCCACTATGAACATGGTTGTACACTCTTTCCATGGCTGAATGATATCCTATTATGTGGATATACCACATTTTGTTTATCCATTCATAAGTTGAAGGATTATTCTTGAACATTTTACACGTTTATTTTTTCTCACATTTTAAATACTTTTAATACAAATTATACTTTACAAATAAATGTTTCTGACTTTTAGAAAACTCAAGTTATAATTTTCCTAGGAGTGAAAAGGCAATAACAAAACAATGCAGGGGAAGGGAGACAAGGTGGTGGAACAGAAGGACTTGAGCTCACCACCTCTCACGAAAACACCAAAATCACAACTAACTGCTGAACAACCATTGACAAAAAAAACTGGAACCTATCAAAAAAGATATTCTACATTCAAAGACGAAGAAGCCACAACGAGATGGCAGGAGGGGTGCTTTCATGATATAATCAAATCCCATACCCACCAGGTGGGTGACCCACAAACTGGAAGCTAATTATATTGTAGAGGTTCTACCATAGGAGTGAGAGTTCTGAGCCCCATGCCAGGCTCCTCAGCCTGGGGGTCTGGCACCTGGAGGAGGAGCCTCCAGAGCATTTGGCTTTGAAGGCCAGTGGGGCTTGAGTGCAAGAGCTCTGCAAGACTAGAGGAAACAGAGAATCCATTCTTGGAGGGTGCACACAAGGTTTCATGTGAACTGGGACCCAGGACAAAGCAGTGACTCCACAAGAGCCTGGGCCAGACCTACCTGTGGGTCTTGGAGGGTCTCCTGGGGAGGCAAGGGTTGGCTGTGGCCCACTGCAGTGGCAAGGACACTGGTGGCGGAGGCCCCACGGAATACTTCTCAGCGTGAGTATGCCTCCTCCCTGAGGTCGCCATCTTGGTACTGAGACCTGGCCCCACCCAAACAGCCTGCAGGCTCCAGTGCTTGGACGCCTCAGGCCAAAAAACCAATAAGGTGGGAATACAGACCCACCCATTGACAGCTGCCTAAAGTCATCCTGAGCCCACAGCCACCTCTAGACACACCCCTTGATACGCCGTGCCCACCAGAGGGACAAGACCCAGTTCCACCCTCCCACGGGCAGGCACAAGTCCGTCCCACCAGGAAGCCTGCACAAGCCCCTGGACCAATCTCAGCCAGGGGTTAAGGCAGACACCAGAAGCAAGAACTACAATCTGGCAGCCTGCAGAATGGAGAACACAAACACAGAAAGTCAGACAAAATGAGACAGCAGAGAAATATGTTCCAGACGAAGGAACAAGATAAAATCTCAGAAGAACAGCTAAGTGAATTAGAGATAGGCAATCTCCCTGAAAAAAGAATTCAGAATAATGATAGTAAAGATAATCCAAGATCTTGGAAAAAGAATGGAAGTACAGACCAAGAAGATACAAGAAATATTTAACAAAGAGCTAGAAGATTTAAAGAACAAACAGATGAACAATACAATAACTGAAATGAAAAATATACTAGAAGGAATCAAAGGCAGAACAGATGAGGCAGAAGAATAAATAAGTGAGCTGGGAGACAGACTGGTGGAAATCACTGCCACAGAACAAAGAAAAAAGAATGAAAAGAAATGAGGACAATTTAAGAGACCTCTGGGGCAACATTAAATGCACCAACATTTGCATTACAGGGGTTCCAGAAGGAGAAGAGAGAAATGGCCCTAGAAAATATTTGAAAAGATAATAGCCAAAAACTTCCCTAACATGGGAAAGAAAACACTCACTGAAGTCCAGGAAGCACAGAGAATCCCATACAGGATAAACCCAAGGAGGAACATGCTGAGACATATTAATCAAACTGACAAAAATTAAAGACAAAGGGAAAACATTAAAAGCAACAAGAGAAAAGCAACAAATAATATACAAGGGAATCCCCAGAAGGTTATCAGCTGATTTTTCAGCAGAAACTCTGCAGGCCAGAAGGGAGTGGCACCCTATATTTAAAGTGATAAAAGGGGAAAAAACTACAACCAAGAATACTCTACCCACCAAGGCTCTTGTTCAGATTCAATGGAGAAATCAAAAGCTTTACAGACAAGCACAAGCTAAGAGAATTCAGCACCACCAAACCAGCTTTACAACAAATGCTAAAGGAACTTCTCTAGGTGGAAAAGAAAAACCTGCAACTAGAAACAGGAAAATTACAAATGGGAAAGCTCACCGGTAAAGGCAAACATACAGTAAAGGTAGGAAATCATCCACACACAAATATATCAAAACCAGCAATCCTGAGGAGAGTACAAATGCAGGACATTTGAAATGAAGAGACCAGCAACTTTAAACAATCACACACACACACACACAGCTATATCAAAACCTTGTAACCACAAACCAAAAATCTACAACAGGAACACACACACACACAGAAGAAAGAGCAATTCCAAACACAACATTAAAGATAGTCATCAAATCACAAGAAAAAAGGAAGGAAGAAAAAAGGCCTACAAAAACAAATACAAAATAATTAGCAAAATGGCAATAAGAACATACATATTGATAATTACCTTAAATGTAAATAGATTAAATGCTCCAACCAAAAGATAAATACACACACACACACAGTTGAATATTCCTCATCCATATAAAAGAATGAAATAATACCACTACAGCAACATGGATGGACCGAGAGATTATCATACTAACTGAAGTCAGTCAGACAGAGAAAGATGAATATCATGATATCACTTATATGTGGAATCTAAATGATACAAATGAACTTATTTACAAAACAGAAACAGACACAGACTTTGAAAACAAACTTACGGTTACCAAAGCGGAAATGTGGGGGGGGGGAGGGATAAATTAGAAGTTTGGGATTAACATATACACATTACTATATATAAAATCGTCAACAAGGGCCTACTGTATAGCACAAGGAACTGTACTCAATATTGTGTACTAACCTATATGGGAAAAGGATCTGAAAAAGAATGGATATATGTATATGTATAACTGAGTCACTTTGCTGTACACCTAAAACTGACACAACATTGTAAGTGAACTATACTCCAATATAAAATAAAAATTAAAACAATGCACCGCCCCCCACCCCCAACACTTCCAACAAACTGCTATTTCCCCTCACACCCATGTTTATGCCCTATCTTCAAAACCACAACCAACGGGATCAGAGATGCCATCTTAAACTGGGCATTGACAGAGGGTCCACTTTTCCACGGGAAAGGAGGGCTCCACACAGAGGGAGCAGCCTGAAGGGGGGGAAGACAGGGTGGGTGGGGACTATAGAACGAAGGGAAATGGAGGTTGGGCCTCCAAAGAAGAGCCTGAACCTGGCTCTGGGGCAGCTGCGCCTGCTAAAGGCCCTCAGCCTTCCCTAACAGGCTGCCCTGTATCCAGGGCTGCAGGGCTGAGGGCGTTCTTGGCACTGACCTTGAACTGGGCTTCAGGTGGGCCGGTGATGATGACCATCCTTTCACTGACGTCTGGGCTTTCTGCTGGGGCAATCTGCAGTTCACAAAGCAAGAGGGAAATGCTACTGCTTGGCTCTGTTCCCCGAGCTGCTCCTTCTTGTCTAAGAGGATGGCACACCCACTAGCAAGAGATTATAAGACTCACACCTTTGTACCTGGTGCTTTGTCTGACCCTGCTGCTTCCACTCTGGGTCTTAGGAGATTATGACCGTAGTGCCCAGTATCAAATTTGGGTCTCTGGCCACCCAGGAATAGTTGGAAACAAGTTAGTACTTACTGCCTGTCCCTGCCCCCACCAGCAGTGTGACCAGCCTCCTTTCACCAAGGAGCTCCACTAGCCCACCGAGGGCCCAGAAGCGAGGATGAGCTGGTCCACAGAGGAGTTAAGTTGGAGTCAGCCTGCAGAAAGGGCTGTTAGTGACAGGTGTGACTAGGACCAGCTCCTCTGTAGCACACGAATCAACTGATGGCCCCAGAGCAAGCATGAGGACACCCTGGTTCCAGTGCGTGCTCTACAAACCCCTCCTCTCCCCACAGGTGAAACATGGCAGTTGAACCCGGCAAGCTCAAAACCTCCTAGCTCTCACTCTGTGACTCTGATGTCTTCTGTAACAGAACTCAAGATGGAACAACCGAACATTTTTTTGTTAGATCCTCTTTACATAACTTTTTCCCTGCATACCCTGCCTTATTTCAAAAACCTTTTAAGGTAGCTTTAAAAATAAATACAATGTAGCATAATTAAATTTATTTATTTTTTTGGCCATACCACGTGGCTTGTGGGATCTTAGTTCCCTAATCAGGGAACTTGTGCCCCCTGCAATGGAAGCGTGGAGTCCTAACCACTGGACCACCAGGGAATTCCCATAAAGTTACTTTTAAATGAGCTAAAAGTACACCAGGCACTTAGGGATGAGCCAGGAGTGAGATTAGTACACAAATGCACCTCATAAAGTCCTACACACCACCCAGAGACCCCATCCCCGAGACTGAGCTGTTCAGCGTGAACATGATTCACCACCGACGGGGTGTGTCTGAAGTTATCGTCTCTGAACCACTGTGTCTCAGTCTTGGCTCCCGCAAGAAGACCTCCACCTCCACAGGGTTTTAGTTTTCTCTCAGTACGTGTCCTAAGCCAGGCTGCACCTGCAGGCCTCAGGGTCCTGTGTCGCTGTCCCAGCTTTACCATGAAGACAGACCCAAGGCCTGCGCTGACCTTGTCTATGAGACCTTCAAAGAAGATCTGGCCCTGACTACTCAGTGGCACGAGGATGAACATGAGACACTGGTCACCAACCACTGAGCTTCCTGGGGGTCTTCCCTTTGCTGCGGGCTGACCATCTGCCAGCCTTCAACTGCAGGGCAGCAGCCTCAGCCAAAAAACAGATGTGTCCAGGGGACTGAGACCCTCCAGCAGGCCGGATACAGACTGGCCCTTAAGATCCCTGGCGGGAACCCTCATCTCTAGTTATACATCCAGAGGTGGCATTAAATCTGCTCCTTATTTCCAAGAGTAAATGAGAGTGACAGGAGCATATGGACACAGTGGTTCCCAGCTCTTATCCACCCAAATCAAGAAGGGCTGAAAGGCTAATTCATAATTCACGTCGACCCAATCAGTTCTCACAGTTGCCTTGTTCCGATCCTGAAAGAAAGCCCCCCATCTCTCCACTACCTGGTATTCACAGCCCAGCCCAGAACCCTGAGAGCCGCACGTGTGCTCCTGCAGTTCTGGAATGGCACTCCCCAGGCAAACTCCCTGAGAGGACCTGGAATGAGGACTCCACTTTATGACTGAAGCAAATGGGATGCAGAAAGATGAGGTGACCACCAAGATCACGGGTGAGCAGGGCTGAAACAAGGATCAGGAATTTTGTGTGGCATTCTGAAGGCTGTCGGCCAGATGATGTGCAGGAAAGGCAGGCGACGGGGGCTCAGCTCTCGCCTGTAACTGAAACATCTCTTGCATGCACCGCCCGATCCCAACTCAGCCCACCCGCTTCCAGCACTCTGCTCCCACGTGTTAGTGTAAAGCTCTCCCCCCGCCCCAGCAGCATCAAATGTGCCTCTAGTTGTGGCCCCTGAAGACTGGCAGAGCAGGATTGGGGGTGGTTCTCTGGAATTAGTGAGATCATCACCTTTAGAGACAGATGCTGTCAGAGAACTGTCAAGACAAAGGAAATTAGCAAAAACCAGATTGATTTTAAAAAGTAGGAAATGTCTCTTGCCAATGTTTGGCTTCCCTGGCTTCCTCTCTTTTTCTCTACTACTCTGGAGAGAGCCAGAGCCCATTCTGTCCCCTGCTGTCTTTGCCCATCACAGAAGTCATGCCACCACTCAACTCTGCTGGGACAGAGAGGGACTTCGGGGATGCTGTGGGGGAAGCCCAAGGGGTTGATCCTTCTCTACTTTCCCAAAGTCTTGCTGGAATGACTCTGGTATAGCACTCAGGTTGCTCAGGTCGAAAAAACATTGGACCAAAAATAGGATAGCCCGGTCCAACCTCAGCTCTCACATTCTTTAGCTTTGTGGCCACTGACATGTCAATGAAACACTGGGCCCTAGTTCCTTATGGGCAATGGTAAGTGGAGAGTTATTGCTGCGATTAGTCCTGGGAAGTGCCCTGTAGCCTACAAGTCGGCAGAACTGCTATCTAAGAGCCAGTCCTGCCACCTGCGTGCCTTGGCCATCTCCCGTTCCCTCTCTCAGTCTCCCTTTTCTCAGGGGAAAAAGAGAGGATTTGATGAAACGATCCCTCAAGTCCCTTTTAGTTGAAATTGTCTCATTCTGTCCCTTGTGCTGCATCGCACCTCAGACCACAGGACCGGACACCGAGAATGGCCCTCAGGGTGCAGCCAGCCCGGTGGTCGTCCATACCTTACCTGTCCCACACAGAGGGCAGGCCCAGCACAGCCAGTCAGTACCTGGGCTGGGGCCTCACCTGCAACAAGCCTGCCGGGTGCAAAGGCCCCGGGTGCTCCACCACCGTCTGCCCCGACCTCAGGCTCTCCTCCAACCTGCGGGCTTTGCAGGTGAGATAAACGAGCACCGAGAGGGGAAATGATTTACCTACATAAAATTCTTTCATGGTATAACTGCAATCCTTGTTCTGTACTACTCAGAATGTTTTGTTTTTGTTTTTTCTCCAGCACACTTGCTGTGGGAGAAATTCCAGCTCTTCTTAGGGAGAAAGTGTAAGCATTCTTTCTCTCCAAGTCATGAGACTTCTTGTTCGGAATTCCGGGTTGTCCCATGGCAGCAAATTATTTTACGTAACAACGGGAACTCTTGTTTCCGACAGCGTTTCACGAGGCTTGGGACGTGCTCAGCATTCTGCCCGTGAGTCAGCGCTGATAGCTGGGCTTGGAGCAGGACCAAGGTCGAATAATCCTCCCCTTTCAGCTTCTCTGCCGACTCTTCCCATTGTGCTCCAGGAGACAGGCGGTGGGAATGTAACTGCAGCTGTGTCTGCACTCGGCCAGTGCATGAATCAGGGGCCCTCCTTCCTGACCTCTCTCCTCAACCCCTCTCCTCAACCCGGAGGCCGCGGCTCAGGTTATGTCACCGGCTTTTGTTTATCTGCGGTTTCATCACTGCCTTTCAAAGAGTTTTCCAGTCAAGCTATTTGTTTCAAAGTTCAAAGGTTTCTGAAATGGAGACTAACCAAAGCATCAAAGCTGAATATAAATTATCAACTGCTGAATATAAATTATCGCTCTCCTTAGGCTCACTCCCTTCACTTGGGAGAATCCTCAGCCTTTGTTTTATCTTGAGGACAATGGTAGCCCAAAGAGGACCAGGTTGGCTTATGTATTACTAGTATTTTTTCCTAATTCATTTGTTAGTTGAACAAAAAAGGAGTGAGAAAGGTAAAGATGAGTGCACATGGGAATAGTCCCCCAAGGCAGGCTTTCCAGGTCCTGTAGGATTTTATGGATGGTGTAAGAATTGCTCGGGACGGACAGAAGGAACAAGGGACATGGGGTGGGGATGGGGGTGGAAGAGGGTGGGATAGGGGCAGCTGTCAAGAGCGGCTTTACCTTGATGGAGGCCCCAGCGAATCTGGCCAGCTGCTTAATGTGCGCCCCTTTCTTCCCGATGATGGCACCCACCGCCTGGGTTGGGATGAAGAGATTCACAATCTCCTGCTCTGGATACTGGAAGGACAGGACAAGACAAGACAGACGACATCATTCCACCTGGGGCTGCTCCTTCAGGCACTCAACAGTAACGGAGCAATGGCCGGATGCTGCATGGGATTCTTCTGGGGCCTAGGGCACTGCAGGGGGGAAGCTGGAGGGATGAACTTGAACAGGATCCACACTAACTACACAACCACTAGAGTGCAAACTCCTCCTGAGCAGCTCTGAATTTGCTGGACACAGCAAGCTGTCTGTCCACGGGCCTTCTGTCAAGTTCAAATGTGATGTGTATTTCTCCTGTGTCTTCATCCAAGGAATCAGTAGCTGTTAAGCACACCTGGCCTGAGGCACTCTGTTAGCAGGAATGGAGAGCTGCCCTCCCACCTAGTGGGCAGGAGCGGCATTTTCCCTGGAGGGGGACTGGGTTCAAAACTAGAGTGTAATTAAACCTGCCCTGAACAGGCTGCGAGGGGACGGCCCAGAGAGACACAGGCAAGCCCGCCAGGGGCCCTTGCTGTTCTTGTCTGTAGGGGTCTGTGGCAATGACATGGCCCACTTGCTAGACTTTGTTAAAGAACTTTGGAGGCTCTGTTCTTTAGCCCAACACCACCTCCTAATCTGACCTGCTGATTGCTCCTCTGCACCAGTTTCCAGCCACCTGTGGGATCTGTGAGCACCAGTAGGATGCTGAAGGGCCGCTTAGTGCACTTGAGTGTCGGGCGGTCTGGTGTGCTGATGCCCTGCAATGTGTCACTCCCAGGACAGCCTGGAACCAGGGGAGCCGGCACGCACACCGTGAGCATGCACTGGTCAGTCTGCCAAGGACTGAGCGGCACCGGCCACAGGAGAGGGACGAGTGGCAGATGGGGCTGAACTGTGGGCACTTACTGAGTGATGATGCGGGAACGGGCCGAACTGGTGAGGGGGGTACAAGCTGGAGAAGTATCCGGAGTGGGTCTGTAGCAGGAGAGAAACGGTCAGTCAGCAGGACCCACAGGGCCGCTCACCAAACTCAGGGAGGCAAGATTCCCACACACAACAAAGGCTCCCGGCACCACCACCGGGCCACGCTGTCCTAAAGGCACACCTGTGCCTCTGCAGCTCGGATCTCTGCTTCCTTCCCTCACGGAGCACTGGCTGGGCTGGATATTCATCATTTCCAAGCTGAGTCATGGTCTAGGCTTCCCAGGAAACCACCAGAGGAGGGAACATGCACACGCACTTTTTAACCTGCCCTCAGGCAGAGGGGAAGCGCCAGTGGTTTCTATTTTCTGAGGAATTATGAACCACACATTAAAGGAACAGAGAATGCCAGGACAAATCCGAGAGTTATTCTAAACAAGCAAAGTGTTCCTGGGAAGTCAGATCAGTGAACGCCCATAGAATCTCAGAAGGAATGGAGAGACTGAGAATAGAGAAATTGAAAACGAAACTGAGGAGAGAAAATGAATGAATAAATACGTATTGTGGAGGCGGAGGGGGAAGCAGGGGACAGGAAGGCAGATGTGGTAGAAGAAAACAGAGCTATTAGGAAAGTAGCGTTAATTTTTAAAGTAGCTGCTTTTTATTGAATACCTACTGTGTCCTACGCATTGTGGTAGATGCTTTATCCATAAACTCTTTTTTAAAAAAAAAAATTTTATTTTTGGCTGTGCCACGCAGCGTGTGGGATCCTTAGTTCCCCGACCAGGGATCGAACCCATGCCCCCCTACAGTTAAAGTGTGGAGTCCTAACCACTGGACCACCAGGGAATTCCCCATAAGCTCTCTTAATCCTCACAATAGTCCTGCAAGACAGGAATACATCTACGTTTGTATATTTTATGGGCAGGACATTAAGTAGAGTCAGCAATGTCTAGGTTCACTGTGCTTTACACATAAGGCCAAGTAAATGCTGACATGCCTATTACAGGAAGGGAGGTGGACAGTTCTGGGCACCATGGAACCAATCCCTGAGGGGCCATCTAAAGTGGTCAGACACCAGTTGGAGGCTTGGAGTTAGGGGACCTAGCTTTCATTTGAGGGTCCTTGAGCAAATCTCCTGGTATCCTCTGTCTCCTAAATGTCCAGTTGGATTCTGAGTTCCAGAGCACAACTTTGCCTTCGGACTCATTAGGGACAAAAATGAAACTATTCCTCTTTTTGAGTTTGGATAGTGGACTTCAGGGGAAAAGAGATGTGAACACGGTGGGGAACTTCCTCCAAGGGTGCTCTGAGTGTCCACAGCACCTGCAGGGGACAGAGCTTTGCCAAAGGAAGGGAACGATCCTGTAATGCAAGCCTCTGCTTTCACGACTTGGAAAGAGACTGCAGTGACACCTCAGGGCCACAAGAGGGGGCTATGAGATCAGTGTTCTTCTGGCAGACGTCCACTTTCGAAAGGAAGCTGAGTGAAGACGTTTGGCTCACCTGGGCCTGCCTCTTTCTTGAAGAGCATCAGCTCCAGACCCTTCTCAGTGCAGGTCCCTTTCCTGGTCCACGGCGGGTCAGGGAGAATTCCTGCAGCTTTTCTGCTCAGACAAAGCTCTACCTTGGGGAAAGGATGCTTCTGCCCTCCTCTCACCTGGAGAACTTTTCCTTCAGCTCTCAGCAGAAATAATTCTTTTGAATTGTGATTTGGCCTCAAAATAGACAAACCACAAGTGTAGCTCCATTCTGGGTTCAAATACTCCCAATATAAACGCTATAGCAAATTTAGATCTACCACTTGGGTGAGGGGAGGGGATGAACTATAAAAGGATAAAAAGAAATAATTCCCCAGTCCTCTTTTTTTAATTCATGAGTTACAGCTGGAAAACTGTTGTGGAGAAAGAACCCCAAAACTCGGCAATCAGGAATTTGTTTCTAGCTGAGGCTCTGTCATTAGCCTTTGTGTATATAAGTTGGTTTTTGGAGTCAGAAGATCCAGAAGACTTGAGTCTGAATCACTAGTTCTATACAACTTGGAATAATTTATTCAGCTTTTCTGAACCTCATCCACAAATGGATTAAAATAATATCCAGAGCTTACAATACTGTTGTGGGAGTTCACTCAACTGTTTACTCATTCATCCAAAAGATATTTGAGCAAAGCACTGCTCTAAGTGCTGGGGACACAGCTATTGAGACAGAAAAGGTCACTGCCACCAAAGAACTTAGGTTCTACTGGAGAGGCAGACAAGCATGCGAAAGAAACGAACAGGAGGCTATGAGGAAGGGTAGCTGCCGAGATGAGTGGGATGGCAACTTCAGCTGGAGGGTCTGGGAAGCCTCTTAGAGGAGGTGACCTCTGAGTTGGGACCCATGGAGATGGAGCCCCATGCAAGGCACTAGGGAAGAGACATTCTAAGCAGGGTTCTGAGAGGTGCAGAGCTAGGAAAGGGGTTGGTCTGTTTGGAAAACAGGAAAGAGGCCAGTATGGTGAAAGCAACTGAGAGAACAGCTTGATGGGATGGGGAGGCAGGTAGTGTGAGATCACGCAGGGAGGGCTCTGTGGGCCTCGATTTGGACGTGGATTTGACCCAAAGTACAATGGATGGCCCTGAAGGACGTTACATGGCATTCAATGAGGTCACAGGAATGGAGAATCCATCATCAGGCACTGTATGGCTTGAACTACTGAGTGTTAAATGCGTACTTCTTTATCACTTATCAGAGCACACTTTCCATTCCCCCCACCCCCATGCTTACATGGAGTCCACAACCTCAACTGGAAGAGGAGCTTAGTCATAATGACCAAAAAGTAACCTGTTATGACTTAAATAAATGTCCTCTTTAATGGGAAAGCAGGGTGTAGCTAGCTGACAAACTGGGGCTCTGGAGTGGGGTGGGCGGTATGGAACCACAACCCTAAAATGGCAATTGGGCTTTTACTGTCTCAGTTTGAGGGTCCCCAGCTATTTTATGAGGGAGAAGCTACTTTACTTTTGAGTGTTTCAAAAGAATTATGATTTGGGGTATGGGGGGGAGAAGAGGTTATGGTGAAGGTGCTCCTGCCAGGTATGCTCCCCCAAAAAGAGAGGCAGCAAAGGTGCAGGGGGTCACTATTATCCACTGGTTCATTTCAAATTCTGTTTGAGGGCAACTAGTGTCTGCGTTTCCTCTGTGCTTGACTATGCTGGGAGTAGCAGAGGCGTATATATCAAACATACTCATGAACATTTAGAATGGAATTCAATTTTAAGTTGGGCCTGCTTTTTCTGGAAGAACTGCAGTGTCCTCGGTTCCTAGCTGTTGTGTATGACCATCTGATGTATCATTTAGGTGATACTCTGAATCATGAAGAAATCAGCAGAAAGAGAGAGGGCTGTTGAAGGGGTAGTAAAGAGGGCAAGGGTCAGGCATACAAACTAGGTTCAAAAATATAACTAGCTGCAGTGTGATGACAGAGTGATGTTATAAAGATGGCAGGTGCTCTCCCTGGGAACCAGGGATACGGACATGGGAGGAAGGGAGTGGACTTGGTCAGAGTCATGCGCAGAGCTATTCAAGATTCAGAAGGTGCACCATTCTATCCCAGCTTGTCCAGTGCCTCCTTCCAGCCCCTGCCTATCAACCCCTGTGAGCTCTCAGAGGACCACCTCAGAAGCTGAGGGGGACCAGGAATTGGTAAGCTAGCAAGAGGTGAAGCCAAGGTTTGGGCACAGATCTCTGTGTCTGACTCTGCGTCCCAAGATCTTAAGCCAACACTGCCCTCCTCTGGGACATTCCAAATTTATTAGTTCAGGTGGGGCCCATGGTGTAGTTAAGATAAGGCTCCCCTAAGGATTCTAATATGCCCTCTGCTGAGTTTAAGTACATGAATGGACAATTAAAACTCACTGGACATATACAGTGAATCAGCAGCATGAAAGAGGGGAGCAAAGCTGAGCAAGGCAAGAAAATGACCTCAGTGAACTGAGTCAGGAAAGAGGGAGGAGCTTTTCTAAAAAGTCTGCTTTATTTCTCAGTGAGATTCAAGAGGGCAGTGCTTTAATATGTGAGTAGACTGCTATGAGGGAAGCCAATCAGAGAACTAGATCGATCTTAGAAATTAAAAACATGACTTGTGGAGTAAAAACTCAATAGAAGTCAAACAAATAGCAGCATGGACACTCTCGAAAAGCCAATCAGTGCACAAGAAGATTAACTCACGCAAAACAAAAGGACGGACTCAGACATGATGAGTAGAGTGGGAAGATCTACTCTCTCTCCATAAAGTGGAAACTCCAGGAGGAAATGGAGTGGAGGGAAGAGAGGCAATGCTAAAATTAATTACAGACACAGAAGGTTTTCCTGAACCAATGAAAAACTTGAATGTTCAGATTAAAGGGCTCAGAGTCAGATTTCTGATTTCCAAGGGTGTCAGTAAAATACTACAAAAGGCAAAAAGTTTAGACAAAAGAAAAAAAAAGTTACCTACTAAAGAAAGGGAAATCAGACTGGTAGCAATGTTTTCAGAGTTCTAAAGGAACTAAGACCCTAGAATTTTTAGATACCTAGTTGAACTTTCATTCACATGTGAAGTGGAGGGGGGGGAGGCATTTTCAGGTATAGAAAAGCTTAGAAATTATACTACTTACACAATTATTCCTGAAAAAAAAGTTGTTTGAGGAACTACTCCAGAAAAACAAAGAAACGAAAACAAATAACTCAAAAAATAAGAGGATATGGAATTACAAGAAACCATCTGTAGTGAGCAAAGAAACCAGTAAGAAAAGTTTAGCTAATTCTAAATAACTGTGAAATATGAGACTGTGTATTGACTTAGAAAGAAAATTTAATAATTTGTACTAAAATTCCAGGTTATTTATAGAGTAATATAATAAAAATACATGAAACAAAAATCTGTTAGAAATAAAGAATTTGAAAAATCATAATCATAGTGGGAGAACAGTAAACTGCTCTCAAAATGTAGTAAGTCATAGAGATAAAAATAATAAAATAGAGGATACAAGCCACCAATTAAAAGCTTGATTTTACAGCCATAAACACAACTT